TGGATTCCTGGTGTGGCGCCGTGGGTTAATGCGCCAGACTGCAAAGCCATTTGAACTGCAAGGTCGGCAGTTCAAGCTCACCAGCTGCTCCTTGGAAACCCTATACAGGGTTGCTATGGATCGGAACCGACTCGACAGCACTTGACAACAACAACATAGTTAGAACAAGCTGCATCCTCAGCTCTCCCAGCCCAGGTGAGTTTCTCCACATGACTGGGCTGTGGTTTCCTCCCCAGAGACACTAAAGGTTCAAGATGAGATAGCCAAGAATAGCTCTGGTCCATTCTCACTATGAATAGGGTCATACTCACAGGGACAACTGGGCAAATGTCGGGGACCTGCCTTGACAGGGAAGTTTGGTTCACGAAGTAGTGAGATCTGGCAGTGAAAGAGATAGAAAAAGAGTATACACAAAGACGTGACGAGAGAGACAAAGAGACACCCTGAGACCAGAGTGGATGCAAGACTGGCAGGCAGACCCTGGATTGCAGGCATCATGGCCCTGCAGGCAGTAATGCATGCAGGGTTCCATCTGCATCCGTCTTTTATTTCAGGGAAGGATTTTACACAAAGGAAGAAGGGGATTATTAAGACAGGGTACAGAAATGAAATGTGATTAATTGTTCAAAACAGGACACAATAATTTACAGGAACAAATTCTAAAATATACATTGCAAATGGTCTTAATAATCTAACATCCTTAATTTTCCAAAAATTCAAGCAAATTGTTATAAATTACTTTTTAGGTTCAAATCTTAAGGCAGCGACTCAAGGTTTCTCAAGGCTAATTAACATACCTATAGCACTTAATCTCGAATGGGTAAAGGTGAAAAAGGATTTAAAAGGTCTGAAGAGAGTCAAGCTGTTTCAGCTACCTGGCTTAGGCTTTCAGGAGGAAGAAGGATCTCTAGGTTAATGGATTACACCTGAGGAACGATTTGAGGAGGTTGTCACTATTATTCCTTGAACAATACTCTGGATTCGCCAATCTACTTTGAGTGAATTCCTCAGGCGGATTGTCTTCAGAGCCTCTTTGCGGAATCTCAGCAAACCTGCCTTTGGAACGTTTACGGCCTCGGCTTTAGAAGAGGTTTTGGTTTTAATATTTGTCCATGGGTATCCAGGGCTCATGTATTAAGTTACTATCAAATGTAACTGAATAATTTGATAAAGAACAGTTTGGACACGCTTGCCAGGTGGCCAGAGTTTGTTCCTCAGAGAGATTTGTTCCCAGGACCCTACGCACTGCCAACACAGTGGAGACATTAAGAGAGGCACATAAAAAACCATTTTCTCAGAAGCTACAATTACTGGAGTTAGAAGCATTAGAAGCATAGAATGAATAATAAGACCAGAGAATATTATACAGAGGTAACCCAACAGTGAGTTCGTAAAAGCCTATGAACCCGGACGTCAGGAGGACACTTCCTTGGCCCTCAGGGTCCCTGTGAACCCGGGACGTCAGGAGGTCACTTCCTTTGGCCCTCAGGGTCTCTGACTAGCCATCCTGAGTGGGGCCATCATGTAGGATTTTTGTTCATGACACAGGGCCTCAACATCTCAGTGCTTTGCGGTCCCCAACAGGCAAATCACTCTTCATTCTCTATTCCCATCTTCATCTCCCACACCCACATTCATCCACATGAATTAGGTTGGAATGAACATTAAGGGCAGTTTTGAAAGGTTACAAAGAGTATTATGCATTGTGGGCAGGTGGAGTTGTGGCCATGGATGGCCAGAATGTGAGGAGGTCTTACAGTCCCCTTAGCTATGTAAGGGGAAAGGACACCAAAAGCTGGGGTCTGGAGTGAACGGCATGATCACTAGGCTGCTGGGCCAGCTCAGTTTCAAGCTTCCTGTGGGGATTCTGCCATTGTTAAGTGACTGGTCTCTGGCCTCCAACTCCCACTCTAGACAAGGTGAGGGACAGAGGAATTAAATGGGATGATGAAGCGTGGCCCACAGAAATGTCTTTGTCTGAAATCAAAACCTCTCAGATTCTTTCTGCTCTTCAACCACCTAAAAGCACCTAAAGGTGGAACCAAGTCAGAGTATTCTTCTGGTCAGTGGTTACGGCACTCCCCAAATCACAGAGAACAGTGAGCGAACACTAGGCTTCTCAGAGCCCTCAGGGAAATGATTCTGTTTTTGGAGAGGTAGTAGATAGTCATTGGCCTCTTTCAGAATCTATTGAATACTATGTACTCTCCTCCCTTAAAAACTCCCATGTGCAAACGCCATGCTCTGCAGGCTTTCGAAAAACTCATATGCCTCTCCACGTGACCCCTAGATAATGCTTCATAACATGTGCTCCCTGGTTCACTTGAATTAGAATCACGGGGTGCAGTGGGGGGTAAGGGGAGGCTGGTCATTAGACTGAAGATTCCAGGGCTCCACACCCAACCTACTGAGTCAGACTCTTTAGGTTAAGAGGACCTTGGAATCTCTCCAGACTTCCTTTTGGGAATAAACCTTGTTGTGGGAGAGTCCCTTGGGTAGGGTTTTTGTAACAAGCAGCCAAGATGACTCTGCTGTGGACAGAAAGCTCTTGTATTCAGAGAGCATCCGGAGCAGACTCTCTAGTGTCAGAGTGTTGTTGTTGTTGTTGTTAAGTGCTGTTGAGTTGGAGTACTGTATTTGTATCCTAGCACTGCTTTGAGCTTTAGGCCTGAGCCTCTTCAGCTCAGTGAAGGGGCTGAAGTACTTGGAGGCTCAACTTCATCACTTCTCTCATCTGACATTGATGTGCAGCCTTCTGGACCAAATGGGCCAAGCATCTTAGGGCCTCTGTCCACATTTTTGGTTGTGTATCTGTCCACATTGTTGGTTATCAGATGGTTTTACCTTAGTGATTTCTTTCATTTCCTTTACTGAAGTGGCTTGGTTTCAAACTTGTGAAGTTTTATTTTATTTTTTCATCTTTATTTTCCAAACTGGTATTTTATTTTGTATTAGAAAACTGACATAGACTCCTTTCAAACAAAAGCAAAAAGCAAACAGTAAAAATAAGCATTATAGAAATGTCATCCCTCCCCACAATCGACTCCAATCCTACTTCTCAGAGATGATTCCTAGGAACAATGTGATATATATGTTCTTTTAGACTTAAAAATAAAATAAAAAGCATCTTCAACTGCAGCCGGAACATAAATAACATTTGTTGTTGTTGTTATGTGCCGTGGAGTCGGAACCGACCCATAGCGACCCTGTACAGGGTTTCCGAGGGTGTAAATCTTTACGGGAGCAGAAAGCCTCATCTTTCTCCCACGGAGCAGCTGGTAGTTTCGAACTGCTGACCTTGCGGTTCACAGCCCGAGTCGTAACCACTACGCTACCAGAGCTCCTTTGTTGTTGTTGTTGTTAAGTGCCGTCGAGTCAGTTCCGACCCATAGCGACCCTGTACAGGGTTTCCGAGGGTGTAAATCCTTACGGGAGTAGAAAGCCTCATCTTTCTCCCGCGGAGCGGCTGGTAGTTTCGAACCGCTGACCTTAAGGTTCGCAGCCCGATTCGTAACCACTACGCTACCAGAGCTCCTTTAGTGGGTGCTTATTACATATCAGGCCATGTGCTGAATGCTGAGCGTACATCATAGAAACCACACAACAACCCTGTGAAGTATTTTGTGTGTGTGTGTTGTGTGCCACTGAGTCAGTCTGACTCGTAGCGACCCTGTATAGAGAAAGGCCCCCTCAGTGAGATGGACTGACACAGTGGCAAGAACAAGGGGCTCAAACATCACAACACTTGTGAGGATGCTGATGGAGCAATGTTTTGTTCTGTGGTACATAGGGTCGCCATGACAGATTTGACAACACTGCTATTTCCTTGTTTCATTTTAAGATTTGGTGGAAATCTTTTCATAACTGTGCCTGTGGAACATTTTCACATCTGCAGAGTGCTCAGTTACATGAAGTCATCACACACTTAAGCATTTTTTGGGAAAAGAGAAATATTTGAATGTCTCTTCTGAATCTGAAGGACTTTTGATATTTAAATCTAAATACAAAGTGAGGATCAAAACATCTGTTTCTCAGAGCTAGGTTTAGATTCTTGGTTTTGCCACTAAATAGCTATGGAAGTTGGAGCCACATTCATCTTTCAAAACCTAACTTTCTTCTCTTGCAAAATGAGGTCATGTTAAAATATGCTTTCTGAAGCCCACTTTTGTTCTAACATTCCCTGATATAATTAGTGTTTGGCACTCTGACTTATTTTCCTTATTTAGGGGAAAAATGGATAATTAGTTAAATAATTAAGACCTTTTGAACTTAGAAGTGCTAAGTAGCTCTTTCATTACTTATGGAGCAAGCGGATCTTTGCTGGATATGACCTTAAACTGCTTTAACTTCTAAAATAGTTACTAGATTCTTTAGAAAAAACAAGAGAAATATTGAATCCAAGAGGCCCTTCTGTCTCAGCATATGGGCATGGGATGAGGGAGCAGGAGGTACTTGGGAAGAGTGATATGGAAGCTCTAGGGAATCTGTCTTCCTGGAATGAGTATTTCCAGCTGTAGGTTCTCCAACAAAGAAGGAATTGTGTAGCCCACAACCTCAGCAGTACATTTGAGCCGAGAGACTTACCTAATCTATGCTTGTAGCATTTGAGATAAGAAGGTCTGACATCACTTTGTTACATAGTCATTTTCTCACTTGATACTGTCAACCTTCCCAATAAAAGAGCCTGGGAGGGCATGGTGATCCCACTCTTAGGACAGAGATGCAGAACTTAAGAGAAGTGTGCCCATATCCTGTGTTGAGAGGCTGATCCTGGTACAAAGGCAAGGTCTCAATCCCTGTTCCGCTGTGGTGGGTCCTTGGTTTGCTACTGTCTAGTTTCTTTCGGATGACTCTTTCTGATGGCTGGACATCTCTTTGGTGCCCTCTGCAGTCCAGAATTTTCCAGATGAACAGGTGCAATGACCTGGTATTTTAATGGGCACGAACATGCGATAGCATGGAATTTTGCTGAATTTGGGATCCGACCGATGGTGAGTTTTACTTTCTAAAACAAAGGAAATAAAGGACATTAAATGACTAAAGATTATCCTTCTGAGTGTTTGTTCTTAGTTTGTCCTCATTCACAATGTCAAACTGCTTTTGAAGAACATCCCTTCATCTACAGTCTACGAGAAGAGGAAGCCAGTGGGGACGTGTGTAGATAATGGGACATACTGAAATTAGCATTTACCATGTCTCTTGCACCCAGTAATCTGTGAGTTCCTTGAATTTAGGCTGAGGCTACTTTTGTAGCTCTAGAAAATGACCCCAGTACCCAGTAGAGTTCATGTTCAATAAATGGTGAATGAATGATACCTAGGTTTACTCCTTGCTCTGTCACCATAGTTATATAACTTAAGCAACTTACTTATCCTCATTGGCCTCCCAATTTACATAACAGTGATAATATTATTTGTCTAAACAACAAAGTTATTGTGTGACTCATAAGAGATACCCAAATGCATTGTTGTCAAGTCAATTCCAAGTTTTAGTGACTCTGTAAGACAGACTAGAACTGACCCTAGGGTTCTCAGACTGTCATCTTTACAGAAGCAGACCGCCATATTGGTCTCCTATGGAGTGGCTGGTGGCTTCCAACTGCTGACTTTCTGGTTAGCAGCGGGGTGCTTTAACCACAGTGCCATTATGCAAAAGAGATAAAACATATAAAACTATAAAGTCTCAGTTGTTGTTTTTGTTGTTAAGTGCCGTCGAGTGGGTTCTGACCCATAGCGACACTGTATAGGGTTTCTGAGGAGTGACTGGTGAACTGGAACCACAGACCTTGCAGTTCAAACGGCTTTGCAATCTGGTGCATTAACCCACAGCACCACACCAGGACTTCATATAGAAGGAAATTGGGAAATCACCTAAATCAGTGATTTTCAGAAATTTTAAGCCAATGAACCATTTCTTCAAGGAAAACACATTAAAATGTGTATTTTAATGTGATGTAATTTAATGTGATGTAAACACATTAAAATAGCATGGGAAAGTCCATTCTATAAAAGACAAATGGTAAATGTGAACACCTGGCACCCTTTGCTCCCACTGCCCCAGAGGCCCAAGAGCCATTTGAAAACCAGCTCTCTCACTTTAGAGAGAAGAGACTGAAGCTCAGGGAACAGAAGGGCTTTTCCCAAGGTCACACGGATAGTTAGAAGTCAAAGCAGAACAGGGAAAGAACTAGCAATTTAGACACCTGCCTAGTAGGTGGGTACCATGGCTAACACTTGAAAACCATGCATGCTCAGTATATACATCAACACATTTTACTTCTTACAATAACTTTATGAAGATGGTAAGGCTATTGAGACTAAGAGAAGAGGAAACTGATTCTTAAAGGGAGGAGCTTGTCCAGCATCCCTCAGCTAGTAGTAGCAGAAGAAAAAATAAGTAACTGAAACTATCATCTCATCTGTGCCTTCTCTGTTGTGAGCACATTGCATACATTATCTCATATAATACTCTAACGACTATGAGGTTACTCGCATAATCCCTAATTTTGCAGAAGAGAAAGCACCAAGGCCCAAATTGTTCAAGCAGCTGGAATTCAACATGAGCCCACTGGACTCTCCTGAAAGATATTTTTGCCCCATCACACTGCTTCCAAAGTCCTTAGTCCAGATGTTCTGTCTCCTCACCCAGTGTGCTTTCCAGACGTCGCTTTATAGGAAAGAATTTTGAACTAGTCCTAGAATAGCATTCTGTCATTTCCACTTAGCAGCTAAAGAAGAGTCCCATTTGGATTCAGAGCACTGTTCAATCTCCCGTCAAAGACCCTGGCCTTGTTCCTTCAGGCTCTGGCTCTGCCTTGCCCTGGCCTGGGCTGTTAGCAGGACTTACCTCCTTTTGGATGGACCTGCTGAGAAACAAGGAGACCTCTTCCAGGCTCTCTGGCTTCAGGTCATTCACGGCCAAGAGGTGATCTCCATGGCAAAACAAGCAACCAAGGTGCTGGGGGCCGACCCACTGGGTCACACTGCAAGGAAATATAGCACTCAGCAGAGTGTGAGACTCAGGGTCCAGGGGCACATGTGGACTTCTCACTGTGCCCCATTTTGTTCGTTAACTATGCTGTACCCCATCTGAAGAGGGCTGCCTCCTTTTTCTGTCTGGAATATCCTTTCCTTTTGGAATATCCACTCCTTTTGAATCCTGATCCTTTCTCCTAAACTCAGCTTAAATCATACCATCTTTACGAAATCCTCCTCCCATGCACTTCGCCTGCTGTAATTAATCTCCTCTGTCCCCGTCCTTCTATTGCACTCTGTAATACCTCATGTTGTTGTTAAGTGCCATCAAGTCGGTTCTGACCCATAGCAACCCTGTATAGGGTTTCCGAGGAGTGACTGGTGAGCTTGAACTGCCACCCTTGCAGTTCAAACTGGCTTTGCAGTCCAGAGCATTAACACACAATGCCACACCAGGACTCTGATGTAAACACATTAAAATAGCATGCATTTTATGTTTACTCAACAATGTGGCCATCTTTCCATCAGGCCATGAGATCCTGGAAGTGCCATGTTACTTAAAAAATATAAATATTTGTAATCCCATGGAGTCCTGGTGGGGCATGGTAGGATAAATACTGGATCACAAGGTTGGTTTGAACTGCAAGGTTGCTGGTTCAAGCTCACCAGCCACTTCTCAGAAATCCTATACAGGGTCGCTATGGGTCAAAACCTACTTGACAATACTTAAAAACAACAACAAATAACCCCATAGTTCCAAGTGGGCAAGAATGCTCAGAAATTGTTTGTAGGAAGTGAGCACATAATGATCACATTGTTGTTGTTAAGTGCCATCGAGTTGGTTCTGACCCATAATGACCTTGTATAAGGTTCCGAGGAGCATCTGGTGAGCTTGGACTGCCGATGTTGCAGTTTAAATAGCTCTGCAGTCTGGCACATTAACCCACAGTGCCACACCAAGACTCCAAAGATCACATAAGAAGATTTAAAAACAAATAAAAGATCAAGTTTAGGCACAGAGCTGTGCATGGTTCTGTTAAAGATTTGCTACGCTTTAGATTGTGGGAAGTTTGGAAAATTGGGAGGTTGTGCTTCCTATCTTCTTAGAACTCACAAAATAATTTGTGATGTTATGGGTTGAATTTGTTGCTTTTTAAAAGTGCCATTAAGTAGGTTCCAACTCATAACAATGCAGTATACCGTTTCTGAGGAATAGTGGGTGGGTTTGAACTGCCAACCTTGTGGTTTGCAGACCAGTGTTGATCCTACAGTGCCACACCAGGATTGAATTATATCCCCCAAAATATGTTGTAAATCCTAACTTTTACGTCTGTGGATTATAGCCACATAATCCCATTTGAGAATATATATGAGCTATCTTTGTTATGTTAATGAGGCAGAGTTTGTGTGGTGTGTAATCTGAATAAATGTCTTCTGAGATACAAAGCTAGCAAGCATTTATGGGGAAGAGGGATGTCAAGCCACATGAAGATTATCCAGAAGTAGAACTCAAAGTGACAAGGACCTTCCTCCACAGCCAACACAGAGAGCAAGCCGTTCCCTACAGCCAACACCTTGAATTTGGAATTCTAAACTGTGAGCAAAAGGTCATTAAAAAGACAGGAAAGAAAGAAAAGACAAAAATGGATATCAGAAGAGACTGTGAAACTTGCTCTCCAGCATAGATATGCTAAAATGAATGGAAGAAATGAGAAAATAAAAGAGCTGAAAAGAAATTTCAAAGGGCAACTTGAAAAGATAATGTCAAGTATTATAAGGAAACATGCAAAGACCTGGAGTTAGAAAGCTAAAAGGGAAGAGCACACTCAGCATTTCTCAAGATAAAAGAACCGAAGGAAAAATTCAAGCTTCAATTTTTAATATTAAAAGATTCCGTAGGCAAAATATTAAATGATGCAGAAAGCATCAAAAGAAGATGAAAGGTATACACAGTCACTATACCAAAACGAAATGGTTGATGTTCAGCCATTTCAAGAGGTAGCATATTTCAAGAACTGATAGTACTAAAGGAAGAAGTCCGAGCTGCACTGAAGGCATTGGAGAAAAGCAAGGGACCAGGAACTGACAGAATACAAACTGTCCTCTTTCAAAAAACTGATGCAGCAATGGAGGCACTCACTCAACTGTGCCAAGAAATTTGGAAGACAGCTACATGGCCAAGTGATTGGAAGAGATTCATATTTGTGTCCATTTCTAAGTGAGGTGACCCAACAGAATGTGGAAATCATCAAACAATAGCATTGATATAAGATGCAAGTAAAATTTTGCTGAAGATCATTAAAAAATGGTTGCAATAGTACATTGCCAGGGAACTACCAGAAACTCAAGCCAGATTTAGAGGAGGACTTGGAATGAAGGCTATTATTGCTGACGTCAGATGGATCTTGGAATGTCCAGAATATCAGAAAGATGTTTACTTGTGCTTTATTGACTATGCAAAGGCTTTCAACTATGTGGATCATGACAAGCTATGGATAACTTTGCTAAGATTGGGTGTTCCTGAATTTTTGATTGTGCTCATGAGGAATCTGTGCATAGACCAAGAACCAGTTGTTCTAACAGAAGAAGGGGATACCGAATGATTTTAAATCAAGGGAGGTATGTGTCAGGGTTGTATTCTTTCACTATATGAGATTATTCAATCTTATTCATATTTATGCTAAGTAAAAAATCCTAGTAGCTGAATTATATGAAGAAAACTATGCCATCAGGATTGGAGGAAGACTCATTAACAACCAGTGATACACAGATGATATAACCTTGCTTACTGGAAACCAAGAGGACTTAAAATCCTTACTGATAAAGATCAAAGACCACAGCTTTTGGTATGGATTGCATCTCAATGTGAAGAAAACAAAAATCCTCACCACTGAACCAACAACAAATAAAATCATGAAAAATGGAGAAAAGATTGAAGTTATCCAAGACTTCATTTTGCTTGGATCTACAATTAATACTCAAGAAATCAATGTACTGCATTAGGCAAATCTGCTGCACAAGAACTCTTTAAAGTGTTCAAGAACAAAGATATCAGTTTGAGGACTAAGGTGCTCCTGACCCAAATCTTGGTATTTTCAGTAGCCTCATATGTATGTGAAAGATGGACAATGAATAAGGAAGATCACAGAAGAATTGATGCATTTGAAATATGGTGTTGGAGAAGAATATTCAAAGTACCATCAACTGCCAGAAAAACAAACAAATCTGTCTTGGAAGAAATACAGACAGACTGCTCCTTTGAAGCAAGGATGGCAACACTTCATCCCTCATACTTTGGACATTTTATCAGGAGGGACCAGTCCTTGGAGAAGGACATCATGCTTGGTAAAGTGAAGGGTCAACGAGAAAGAGTAAGACCCCCAATGATGTGTATTGGCACAGTGACAGCAGCAATGGGCTCAAGTGTAACAACCATTTTGAGGAAGGCATGAGCCTGCATAGTGTATCATTCTGTTGTTCCTAGGGTCGCTAGGAGTGAGAGCTGACTCGGTGGCACCTAATGACAGCAACAAACCATGACATAATAATGTTCTGTTTGTTAAAGCCACCCACACGTCGTATATCTGGTATAGCTGCACTAGAGAACTGAAACAGGGAAAATAATATACTGGTACTTTACATTAAAACTTTTGTTGTTGTTGTTAAGTGCTATCAAGTTGGTTCTAACTCAATGACACTGTATCGGGTTTCCAAGGAGCAACTGGTGAGTTTGAACCACCGACCTTGTGGTTCAAACCAATTTTGTTGTCCAGGTGCATTAACCCACAGTGCCACACCAGGACTCCTTAAAGGGTTTACTCTCCTTTCAAAATGTGATCTTGCACCAAAATGAATTGCCAACTCCTTAAGATTATTTAGAATCCAGTAGACAATGGTGTGGCGCTGTGGATTAATGCGCCAGACTGCAAAGCCGTTTGAATTACAAGGTTGGTGGTTCAAGCTCACCAGCAGCTCCTCAGAAACCCTATACAGGGTCACTATGAGTCAGAATTGACTCAACAGCACTTAACAACAACTTAACAGACATGATTACTTTAAGAATATGGTCTGCCACACAATCCTTTGTATCCGACCAGCAGATTTTAGATGGCTTTAGAAAGTCTTCAGCCTGACATGGGGTCCTGGCACAGCACTGTAGGATACTTTTAGTAAGCCCATTGGCCTGCTAGCTGTAAGGTCAGCAGTTCAAACCCATCCGCTGCTCCTTGGAATCCCTATGCAGGATCACTATGAGTCAGACCCGACTCCACAGCACTTAACACCACCAACAACAACAGGCCCTGATGTGTCTTCTCCTTTTAGACTTTTGATTTTTGGTGACTTCATTGGCTTTATTTATTTATTAAATACTCATTGTGCATTGATTGGAAATGATTTCCTTGAATCACACATACTTCCAGCCCACTCCCCCTACTTTAAGACATTAGAAACATGGTACTTCCTGGTTTTTAGGTCTTACCCTACCCACCCACTTCCTGGCTGACTGCCGCCCTAGACAACAAGATTCTTGGTTTTGTCAGACTCAATGGAAGACCCTTTGTGACAACAGCCAAACAGAAGTCCATGCTTCCAAATAGTGTTCAAGATTAGATTCATATCTGTCAACCCCATTTCTAACCCACAGCACTCAAATCTCTGACATACCATATCCGGCCTGCAGCTTCTATGAGAGCAAGATAATTTATGGCGTCGGAAGGAGAAAGGAACACATCTAGTTTCTTCACTTGACATTCATCAGGGATGTTACTATGAGAGAAGACATTTATAGAAGTCATATCAGGTAATTGGCCCTGGGTCTGAACTGTGCTTTCTGAGTAGAGTCCTTTATTTTTCTTTTTTTTAATGTGGTAAAAAGAATATATAACGTAATGTTTTCCATAGTAACCATTTCCAAATGTCCTGTCCAGTGGTATTAGTCACATTTCCAAAGTTGTGCAACCATCACCACTATTTGTTTCCAAAAGTTTTCAACACCTCAAACAGAAACCCTGCACCCATTAAGCAAGAACTCTCCATTTGTCTATCCCCTGGTAGCCACTAATCCACTTTTTGTCTCAATTTGCTTTTCTAGTCTAGATATTTCATATAAATCAGTTCATAGAATGGTTGTCCTTTCATGGTCGTCTTATTTCGCTGAGCATAATGTAGCATAGTGGTTATGAATTGGGCTGCGGACCACAAGGTCAGCAGTTCGAAACTACCAGCTGTTCCGCAGGAGAAAGATGAGGCTTTCTGCTCCTGTAAAGATTTCCAGCCTCAGAAACCCTGTACAGGGTCACTGTGAGTTGGAACTGACTCCACGGCACATAACCACCACGACCACGAATGTTTTCTAAGTCCATTGATGTCACAGAATGTATTAAAACTTCATTTCTTTTTGTGGTAAAATAATATCCTATTGTATGTTTATACCATATTTTATCCATTTATCTGTTGATACACACTTGGTGTGTTTCCACCCTTGGCTATTGTCAATAATCTTGCAATGAACATCAGAGTTCCTGCTTCAATTCTTTTGAGTATATTCCCAAGTGTCAAATTGCTGGATTCTGAGTAAACTTTTTGCTTCTTACATCTGAGATTATATTTTCTAGTTATCATACTGGCCTAAACATTTAGAGAAAATATGAATCCAAATTACTGAAAAGTGCTCATTAGTGTCCCCTTCCTTAGGATAATGGTAGTGGGTAGTAGACAATGGGGAAGGGCCAAAAATGGACAAAACTAACTACATAACCAGTCTGCAAATTTCTCTTCTGGAAATGATTTTATAGAAGACACTGAGAAGAGTTAAAATTGAGGACAATCACATTATATGTTCTTGTTACTACTTAAGACCTACACATCGCTTTCTAATCTGTAACCAGACCTCATGAGACTTTCATGCCTACAATTATGCTCATGGTAAAATCTGGGTGACATACTACTGAAATCAATTTGGATCCAAAGTTCTAGAACCTGAAATACTAACCAAGGGAGAATTACAAACAAACAAACAAACAAAAAAAGTTGAAAATACCACCTCCATCCCAGGGAACCACTTTGATTCTAGCTTTGTTGTTTACTGTCTTTGGCCAAATCTCAGTGAAATTTTGGCCAACTTGGAAATTTTGAGGAATAACTTTAAAATCTAAATATTGAATAAAAGAGGAAGCATGTCGTGTTCTTAGGGCCCATAAAGTTTTCGAAATTAGAGCTTTACTTGATTAATAGAGACAATTGCACGACAGTTAATGAGGTGGACCCCCTTTTGTCATTTGCGGTCTGTGCTTCTGAACTGGCGGTTGAATGTAATGAGTCATTTTCTGAATCTTGTTCCTGCAGTTGAAGTACAGCATCCTGGGTTTCTGGGAGGACCTGGGATTCCTCTTTGCTCTCAGCAGACTGGTGGGATGTTTCTTTGAAAACACTAGCATATAAAAAGTTAGTACAAACCTTTTTTTAGTAAGTCTACTTACAACTTTCCCTTGTGTGTGAATCAGTATTATTAAATAGCTAACAGCAATGTGAAAACTAACAAGGTCTTGAAGTATGTCTAACCATCAGAATCACAGTGACAGCTAGAATCAAATCCAATAAACTTTCCTTCTAAAAATGGATATGGAATTAAAATAACCCTTTACAGGGGGAGGGTTTGAAGGACAGAAGTGAGAGTGTGAGAGACAATGCAAAATAGAAAATCGTTCCCCAGAAGACAGAAAATGTCCTGAGGATATTACTAGTGGTTTTCTGGGGATAGGGGAAACCATCACCACATTTTCTCATTTTAAAATGACTGACTAATATGTTAAACTCAGTGTATAGTAATGTTTTACATTTGCATATCAACTATTTAAATGAACTGGGTAGTAGCTGTTCAGTTAGCTCATATGTGTGCGTGTACGTATATAAGTTAAACTTACCAAGATTTCATTGACATGTAAAGACACTCAGTTTCTCTGAAGACCTTGTTTGGACTACGGGGTTCAACAGATTCATCAATGTCACTGGAACCAATTGTCTTATCCAACTATAGACAAGAGAAATTGACTTAAGGATGCACTCTAACAATAAGTCAGATACCTTTTCATTTCATTCACTATCCCCTTACATTTTGGCTCTGAACGCTGAAATATTAAGAACACTTGCCACAAAATAAACAGTGGTACTCATTCTAGAAATATCAACCAACCTCACCTACTGGAATCCACAAAGTTTCTGGCAGACCCAACATCCATTTTCTTCTGGATCCCCATGCTCCCCACACAAGTTTTCTATTAGACTAAACTGTGATTTGCTTTTTTGTTTCATCTGTAGGCAGATAGTGGTGTGAACATGTTTTCTCAATCAGGTCTATTGAGGAATTTGTAGTCTAGGTGAGACACAGATGCAGACACAGTGCAGATCTAGCCTAATCTATTGTGCTCCAGGCAGCTCGAATTATTTCAGGGGGTTACGAGGCTTCTAGAAAATACCGTGCTTGGGAAGCCCTCAACTCACCCCTTAGAACTAAGACAGTCATCTGGAACAAGGGTTGTTCAAAACCCCTCAAGGCCTGTCATTAACTCATCATGAACACTTCATTCCAGCCAAGCTATTCTTGTAACTACTCCCCATACCAACTACTATTCCAGTACCCGTGTTCATGTTGTTTCCTTCTCCTACTGAAGTTCACCTTCTGCTTATTGAAGTTGTATGTAGGCTTGGTTGAAGCCCCTCAGCTTCCTCTGACCACTTCAGCCCCTTCTATGAACTTTCATTGCACATTTGCCCTAATTTACTTTTAGCTTAATACTACCGACCATACTGCTAACCCACCAAATCAACCCACTGACATTGAGTTGGTTCCAACTCAGAGCAAAACAACAAATCTTTACGGGAGCAGAAAGCCTCATCTTTCTTCTGAGGAGCAGCTGGTGGGTTTGAACCACAATCCTGCAGTAAGCAGCCCAATGCCTAGGTAAGTAACAAATACCAATCATATAAATTGATACTCAATACATATCAGATTGGCTGGATGATGACAAAGGGATACCTGCCATCACTGTGTCCCAGGGAACACTAGTGCAATAGATATTTTTAGAGAAAGTATGCTACTATGGATAAAGGAGCCTGGGATGTGCTGTGTATTGTATACCTTGTTGGGCTATTGATAATTCACCATTGTATACTAAAGGCTCAGTGGTGAATTCTGCAGTCAAGAAGCCTGTTTAACTTTGGTGTTTCTAAAATTTATTTGACCCCAGGATACTTCTTTTGTGTGAACACATGTTACCATCTTGTAGAAAACGCGCTGAGTTTAGGAAATTCTACAGGGACCCCTTCCTCCCATTTTGATCTTCCTACCCAACCACCTTCATTCTCCTCTCTCAACAGTCTTCCTGAAATATATATGCTGGGCTACTCAATGCCATCAAGTTGATTTGGATACACAGAGACCCTTTTGTTGTTAAGTGCTGTCCAGTGGTTCATAGCGACCCTATATAGAGTTTCTGAGGAGCAGATGGTAGGTTTGAACTGCCGACCCTATGGTTAGCAGTCCAGTGCTTATCCTACAGTACCATATAAGGACTCCAGAGACCTTTTTAGGACAGGGTAAAACTTCCACATAAAGGTTCCTTAAGTTTTAAATCTTAACAGAAGCAGACTGCCACATCTTTCTCCCATAGAGTGGCTGGTGGACTCAAACCACTGATGCTTCAGTTAACAGCTGAGTGCTTAACCAATGTGCCACCAGAGCTCCTTGGGTAATAATACTTGAAGATAACTCACTGTCTCCCTGCTGCCAACAAAACGAAGTCAGTTTGGGCCTTCTATATCCATCCGGGAGACAGATAAGCATTTCTGTTTCTGCAAAGATGTACAGCCTCGGAAACCCTATACAGGCTTACTCTAAGTCAGAACTGACTTGGTGACATATAACAACAACAAGAACATAGTCATCATACTGATACAGACCAAAGACTGTAACCTTCAATTGCACCGCAAAGTAGACAAAAATCCTCACAACCAGATCAATAGGTAACATCATGATAAACAGATAATATTGAATTTGTCAGAGATTTTATCTTGCTTGGATCCACAATCAATGCCCCATGGAAGCAGCAGTCAAGAAATCCAACTGCATTACATTAGGCACATCTGTTGCAAAAGATCTCTTTAAAGTGTTAAAGAGCAAAGATTAGATTTCAGTTTGAGGATTAAGGTGCTCTTGACCCAAGCCATTGTTTTTCAGCGGCCTTATGTGCATGTGAAAGTTGGACAATGAATAAAGAAGACTGGAGAAGAATCAGTGTACTTGAATTATGGTGTCGGCAAAGAAATACTGAAAGTTCTATGACCTTCCAGAAGAACCAACAAATCTGTTTTGGGAGAGGTTCAGCCAGAATGCTCCATAGGAGCAAGGATGGTAAGATTTCCTCTCATACATTTGACGTTTGTCAGGAGGGACCAGTCCTCGGAGAAGGACATCGTTCTTGGTAAAGTGGAGGGTCATTGAAAAAGAGGAAGACCTTCAACGAGATGGATCGACAAAGTGGCAGCAGCTATGGGCTCAAGCCTAACACTTGTGAGGCTGGTACAGGGCTGGGCACAGGATCACTGTGAGTCAGAACCCACTCAGCAACACCTCAGAACAACAACATATCTATCATGGTCTGCCTCTTTTTTTCTGTTTTATGCCCCACGGTGGCCATTCATTCACGTTACGTCCCAGCCTGAGAGAATTTTGTGCCATATCCAGTTCGAATACCACTTCTTCTTTGACATCTTCCCTGACTCCTATGAAGAGACGTAACTTTTCTATTGTTCCTGAGCACTTTCCCATGTCTCTTGTGTTGCATGATCATGTGGTAACTGATAAGACTGATAGGGTTCTGAAGGCAGGAGTAATGCTAGGCTTATTGCAGTAGCTGCCATACCTAGCTCCCAGCACACAGAAGGCACTCAGTGAGGGGTTTCAGTTAGTTAATTGACTGGTAGGGGGTCACATGGTTTATAACCCAAGAAATTTTATCTACATCATTCTTTCTGCACGAACATCTTCCATCAACTCTCAGGTCCCAAGTTTATCCACTGTTCAAATACAGTCAACTGTCATCCATTCCCTGGTGTTCTTGGCTGGCAATCAGCTCTCTCCCACTCCTCATGCATTCCCATTGAATTGTGTGAGTACCTCTCTTCAGCATGGAGACCTTTACTTGTGTTACAGTTGTCTCCTATTCAGGTGTCAGTGCTGTGAGTACATCATCTGTATCTGACTCGCTTCTGAGTCCCCACTGAGCCCAGCCTAGTGTCTCAGGAATAGTAGTACTTAGTGTCTATTTGTTGGAAGACAAAATGATCAATAGCTGGAAAGAGTTACCTCTAAAAGAACACTCCGGGGACTAATATAATAATTCTCTTCTTCATCTTGAGTGGTCTCTGGAGAGAAATCTTGTGGAAGAGTTGCTTTCCCGAATCCTGAAGAACTGTTTTCCATGAAATGCTGAATAAAGAGATGAAGACAGAATTGAATCACTGTTTTTCTATTTCTTGGCAAGAAACAGAATTAAGCCACATGCTTTCTCTAAAAGCTGTGAAAGACTAGTTGGGTTGAGAATTGTGTTGTATCCAGAAGTCCACACATCTTGAACTTTCCTCCTATCCTGAGTCACCACTTATGTAACAAAATAGAGGCAGTATTCTTTACCATGGGGAGATCTAGGGTCTCTATAGGAAAAACACTGGGCTGCTAACCACAAGGCCGGTGGGTCAAACCCACCAGCAGCTCCTCAGAAACCAAATAACAGGGTCGCTATGAGTCAGAGCTGACTCCATGGCCCTTAACAACACTGGGAGCTGTAACTTAGAATAAGTGTTTTTCTCCCATGGGTGGTATTCTAAGTCACTAAGTTCTGTCATAGAGTCTGTACCCCCCGGACTCCATCTTGTTATCATCTGGGGTCATCTGAAAAAGTAATTAGCCCAACATCAAGACAATGCATATCTCCTTTTCCTGTTCAATATTCCTCTTTTGTGTTCTGCTCACATATTTCTAGTGTTTCCATAGCAATGTAATTTGGTAGTGCTAGTCATGTGATAGCATGAATTATAGGCTTCAAGGTGATCTAGGTTCAACCAATTCTTGCTTTCCCTTTCTCAATAGAAGTGATATTTCACTAATGTAGCTACTTTGCATGGCAGGAAAATTGTTATATATTCAATTTAATTCTACCAAGAACAGTGTCTTAGAGCAGGGTTTTTAAAAAAGAATTCTGAATGTTCTCTAGGAAGTCCTTGAAAAAAGTTTATTACTATTATTTAAAGAATATATTTAAGCTTATGCCCATTTTTCAAGCTCCAAGCTCAAGAAGTCAGCAGGCCATGCTGAATTTGGGGTGCAGGAGGGTCACCACTTAATTTCAACAGCAGTAACAGCAACAAAAACAACCAAACAGCAAAAGCCCAGCAAGACAAATTAAACTCTTAATGACGGTGATTGAAAAATCGCTGAATCTGAGTACACAATGTGAAAAGGTAAGAGGACATGACTTTTTCACACCATGTGCTATCTCGAGTGGGGGGATCTTGAGTGAAGAACAAGAGGTATTTGCTAAAAAGGATTAGTATTACAATCCAATTTCAGACCATTTTTGGTATTCGTTAAGGAATAACTGAAGTGAGGTGTTTGACCTGGTGACTTAGATATGCTACAAAAAGCTTTTAAAATAGTTGGAGAGCTGCCAACTAGATAAAATAGGAGTCTGTGCCACATTAAAATGTGTTTGGTACCCAAGAAGAGGGGAGAGTTAGCCATGAAATAGTATTTAGGAGCTGGAACAGGAGATAAAACAAACAAACAAACCTGGACACTTTCATTAATTGTATCCAAAGCAGAAAGAGAAGCCCAAGACAGTTGAGGGGACAGTACAAATTACTTTTGAGGGACAGATGTGTTGAATTTGCTCCCCAGATAGATCTCAGTTCTCCGTATACACTAGGAGAAGCAGACTGATCAGAGTAAATGAAGGAAATTGCTAGGCAGCTCTGCCTTTGACCGAGGAGTACAGATGGTGTGGTAGGAAATCAACTGGTGTTTTGAGACTCTTTTTACAGAGGTAATCTGTGCCCTGTATGTGAAGGACGGAACAAGCTGCCAGCCAAGTCTTTCAGCACATCGTACCCAGACGTGTGTCAAGGAACATCCAAAATAAATGGATGCATTTAGAAGTAGGTGGGGACAAGTGTAAGATGTGAGACATGCTTGTGATATGGAAAGCAGACTTAATATAAGGAAACATTAAGGCTGAGATGCATTCCTACAGTCACTTAGGAATTGAGGAAGGTGGGCAAGGTGCAAATTCAACGGCTAAATGCCAAAATTTTGAAGCCTTGACTGACTCCCTGGAATGGTATCCTGAGAGAGAGTAAGGTGACCCCAATTACCATGTTTGGAATACTGGCTCTTGATGAGATGGAGCTGTCAACCTCTGGTGTACTGAAAGGATCAGGGAAAGGACCAGAGTCTGAAGTGGGCCGTTCATTATCCAAGAAGACACTCGCCTGGTTATGCAAAAGAAATGATGTGATCAGGGCCCGGTTGGTTTCCCTTCTGGAACGAAGCAGCATCTTCCCCACTGGACGCCCTGCCACCAGTCTCTCATCAGAGTGGCCTCACCAAGACAAGAGCGGATCTTGTCTCTATCCTATTCTCAAGCCCTTTTTCCCCTTAGCTGAGTCTGCAAAGAACCCACATTTTGTCTCCTACCCATCTTTTGAACCATTTCCCTCTGCACCCCATCTCCTGTGTAAACGTCTCTTATGTTCTTCTCTTTAACTTTTGTTTCTGTTGTAATCATAGAACAACCTAGATAACACATCAAAAGTCCTCCCAAGAGATCAAAGTTTCATTTATATTAAAAAAAATCTTCCCGAAGGATTTGTGTAAATTAGCAAAGTCCCTTATGAAGTAAATTTAAAACCAAAAGCTACTAGCATTTGTATTAATGTGACATTATGCTAAAAATGCAAGATAGGTGAAAGGTATTTTTATAGCAACCAGCTTAGACTTAATCATAAGTCTTAAAATTATACCTTAAACAACAGTGATGGAAAATACTATAGTTTCAACTATTATTTTTTAAAGAAATGCTACTATTATAACTTTCCCTCCCACAACCACATACAAATCTTAAGTGTCTGTGTTTTAGCTTTCTCTCAAAACAACTTCCTCTATTAGTCATAAAAATAACAAGTGCATACATTTTCTCACTTATTTATTCTTTGTATTAATACCAGTTTCTAATGGGGCAAAAAATGCTAGCATTGTTTCCCTGTGAAGGGGGCTATGTTCGGCAGCCAGTTGTTTTGTTAGAAATATAGTCACCTCCGTGTTCTGATGTGTTGCTTTTATGTCCCGGGAAAATGATGTCATGATGGAAACCCAGTCTTTAATCTTCTTCCTGTTAATAGGAATCAACTTTGAGCCAGCATGTGGCAACAATAGCGCGATGACTCTCCTTTTGAGCCTAAGAAAGATTCTTTTTATTAAGGGTTGAGCAGGCAGTGGGAGCAGGAACCAGGGAAATAAGAACTTTTTCCAGAGCAGCTGAAATGACCCCCTGCCTCCTTACCACCTCCACACTTGCAGACTAGAATTAACCCTCATGTGAAGAAAGCACAGAGAGATGGAAGCAAAGAAGAAACTAATATTAGTAATCACAGGCCTTGGGGCTTGTGGCGTTGACACTGATTTCGTTGTGCTGTCCTGTCAGCGCCGGTTATGCGTTGCTATCCCGGTGTGCCATCTCTTCAGTAACGCATGTACTTATGGAGACTGTGCTGGGACTGAATTCATAGAAATCATTTTTCTTCCCACCTGTTCACTTAAAGGCAATCTAAATGACGGTTTTCATTTGTGTTTTGAGTGATTGAAGCATCAAGTTGCTTCATACTTTAACATCTGATGCTGCCTCCTCTGCTCAGCCGTCTCTTCTGCACCTCAGTTTCTCTGACAAGCAGATAAACACCTATAGAGTCCACTAGACACACCTTAGGATAAGCACTCGACCTCAAGGTCAGTTTGAACTGAAAGTTCAGCTGTTCAAACTCACCAGTGGCCCCTTGCAAATCCTATACAGGGTCACTATGAGTCGGAACCGATTAACAGGACTTAACAACAACAACAACAACAGGCACCTTTGGAATCCTGGTGTGGTGCTGTAGGATAACACTAGACTGCAAGGTCTTTTTGAACCACAAGGTTCAAGCTCACCAGCCACTCCTCAGAAACCCTATGCAGGGTCACTATGTGTTGGACAGACTGGACAGCACTTAACAACAACAGGCACCTTTGCTGGCAGAAACCTCTCTTGAAAATTGGATACTTCTGGGATGAGCATGCAGCTCTTGCTGTTAAGTCTGTTGAGTCGGTTCCAACTCATAGCGACTCTACATAGGGTTTCTGAGAGCAGCTGGTGGGTTTGAACAGCCGACCTTGTGGTTTTCAGTCCAGTGCTGATCCTACAGCGCCACACCAGGAGTCTGGGATGAGCACACTTCCTTCCTAATATAAGTCGCTTAGATAGACGTTTGTTTGGTTTGGGGTTTCTTATTGTTCTGAGGGGTGTGGATTTTAGGTTCAATTACATGGAGCACATCTGGGGTGAGGATGACTTTTAAGGGTATTTGAACAAATAATGAAAATTGTCAAGACAGTGCTTAAGGTTGTGGCCATGGGTTTGTGTTCAACCATATTTACTGTTCTTTCATTTAAAGAGTTTATTTAAAATACGGATTATTTTATACACAGAGCCTCTCTGTGCTATGTTGCTACTCACCTGTCTTGACCAATGAGAAAATAATCTCTGTTAATGGTTCGAATGGACATCACCTCTTCAGGGTTGCATCTGAACATCTTACGGACAGCTTGCATTTTTTCATAGTCTTTTATCCCAACTTCGACCCTAGAATTTCTGTGAGGTATAGACAAAGTATGAAGCAGATGTAAATACAAAATCTGGAAGAAAATGGACCTAGTATTTTATGTTATTGTTGTTAAGTGCTGATGTGTTGATTCCAACTCAAAGCAATCCTGTATAGGGTTTCCAAGGAGTGGCTGGTGAGGTTTGAACCGCTCACCTTGTGTTTAGCAGTCCAGTGCTTATCTTACAGATTCAAACTCAACAAAATGTTAAAGTTACTTGGTAAGTATTTTGAAGATTGCATAATACGTTTAGAAAGTAGGTTTGACTCTGGTTCACTCACTAACTGAAAATATCTTGTTTAGCCTGAAGTTTAATCCAAACATTCCTATGTTACTTTGATTCTTGGTTCCACAGATCGCTGTATGGCATTCTTTTTTTTGTTGTTGTTCATAATTTCCTAAGGGGGGCAAAGTATTTTAAAATAATCCATGTTGACTTTATGAAATAATTTCATCTGCTGTCTTTCATCCACACTGTTTAAAGAGTTGGAAAATTGAGAACAAAGGAAATAAATCAAGTCCTTCCTAACAAAATGTTTATTAATTAAAATTTTATCAATAATATGGAGTATGAAGTATTTTAGCTCTCATATTTTCTAAGTACTTGCCATTTGATCTCCCTTTTAGGAACATTACAGTGAAATGAGTTTGAAGCCTTTGGTTTCTTCCACCAAATATCTACACTTCAACTGGCATTCAACTTGTTTGCAGTTGTTACTGTTTACTGTGGAAGTGTGCTGGACTTGGATACGCACTGGTTAATTTCGATGGACTTGGATACGCACTGGTTAATTTCGATGGAC